TACCTATTGGCCAAATGGCAATTTCTGCAGGTCAATTTGACTAATAATGTTAACAAAGATATTCGTAAAATTAAATATGAGCAGACCAAACCTAGGTTTTAGATGGTCAATATGGTTGCCCGCTGCCTTTTGTGAAAAATAATGCATCTGGTGCCTGTGCAACTATAATTGGTTGAACGGTACTTTGTATAAATATTAATTTTTTTACGCAATGATTATTTCTGCTAAATATAGCTTGTTATCGTCTATTACTTGAATTAGTTATTTATGGTGGGGTTACAAATAATGTATTGCCGAGAGTTACACAATTTGATCAATAATTGAAGGTCGTGTTATCCTATATGGATATCGTACAAAAGGTATGGACATTTAAGTGGGCGTGTTACGGAGGTGGGCGAACAGCAGATCGACTCACTAATAGGCGTAAATCTAACCATTAATGTAACTGCATGCTGTCCTATTCCCTTACAGCCATGTTGTCAGAATCCCGAAAATTATTACAAATTTCTAACAGATTAAATTTTGAGATAAAAGGATGTTAATAGATAGCACTTAATACATCCACCTCCAAATTTAGATCCAAATGCCCACCTTCCCAGTTTGACCTGTACACAGACAGGGCAAGAACAAAGCCCAGGAGTAGAGGACTGCTGACCACCACGACCCTAGGAGTGCCCATTGTTAAGGTGGAGGAAACAATTCACTCTACCATGTGTGTATTGGTTAGGGAGCAAGACAAATAAGGCACACTGCATTACAGAGTGATGCCTTGATGTAAATATCTGTCAAGTACTGCAACAATTTTATAGCGTTCATGATTTTAATCTAATTTTGATTCCCCTTTATTGGCAATTTTTCACTGTTGTTACACACTGGAGTGTATTAGTGTGTGAGGGGAGAGGGTTAGATATTCACCGTTGTTACACACTGGAGTGTAATAGTGTGTGAGGGGAGATGTCAGAAGATCAGGGTTAGATATTGACCAAGGCAGGATTGACTAGTGTGTATGACAGGTCCTGTAGGGCTGGCTGTATGATGTAATGTAGGCTAATCATTACTGATCACCCCAGATCTGCTGGAGGTTCAGCCATAAACCACTGACAACCCACTGGTCAGTCAACTCTTCTCAAAGTTCATACCGAACATCCCTCTACTTAAGGAACTAAGGATTCTGTCCGACCTATGAGGAACTACAGCCAACAAGGACACATTTACAGCAATATGAAGTCTAATATGAAAATCGTGTAAGGAAGTATGTACAGTTCGGGAGGACTAAGTTGATTTCCTTTCATTAATCATTTACAGATTCTGGAATAAAAATTATAAGGAATGTTATTATCATCAAGCTGTGCAATATGCTTTCATAAAGAGGATTACAACTACATAGGTAAGTTGTAGTATTTTATGTGAATTTTAAACAATACAGATGTGAACTTTAATCAAGCAGTTGCCTATTGTACACAGGCTGGGTGTTCACAACAGTTTGACATGTGTGTTCAAAACAGTAATTAAAGATAAATATTGATTATAGTATATAGGCTTCTGTAGGAGATCACCCTAAAAGGATTTCAACAAGTAAGACAGTTTCTTTTGACGCTAATCTGATTCAGCAGAGGATTTCTTATGTACATTTCCCACCATTCTCTGTGCCCCAAGCTGGGATTTTCAGCAGAGAAAATGTTCTCGCTGGTGTTGTACTAACAATATTCTGGTACTTTCTCGAATTTTCCAAACTGTCATCAAGAAATCTAGTGTTTTGATAATACATATGGTTGTGATTGTACAATTTAAATTGCTAGTGACTTGTCTTCCATACATACAACACTGCTACAAACATTCAGCACAATTCGATAAAATGTTTTGTAGAATATAAACTTCGTATTTGTTAGATAGTCCATCTTCATATGACCTTGGCTGTTGCAAGGACTTTTAACTCATTCACTCCTGAAGACACATTTGAACTCTTCCATTTCAAAGGTTTGAATTGTTCATTATAAAATCTCAGGGGTGAATGAGTTAAACCTTGATAAAAAGAACTGTTAAGTATTATAATGCTAGTTATTGGTTCACACAAATGTTCCTGTACAAACCTTGTTTACATGTTTGTAATAGAAAAAAACTATGTTTTATGATCTGACTTTTGTGTAAATAGCTTTGTGATGCGGGGACCTGTTAAATATTATATAGTGTTATAAAATGTCTTTTCTTGATGAAATTTTCTAAAACAAAAAAATCTTAATAGGTTTTCACTGATTCAGTGAAACCTGTGGGTATAAGATAGTGGTAAAGATCCTCCCCACAACTCTCCCGCCATCTTCATTGTCAATTTCCTATTTATGGCACTACCACATAATTTCAAATTCTTTACATCATATGATTCACTGTGATAAGATTGTTGATTTGTCAAGAAAGACCATCAGTTAAAGTGAAGGCCACCGTTTCATAAAAACGATGTTCAAAGTACTGTATTGATCATAAATGCATATCAAGATTATAAAAATAAATATGCCTTCATATATTATGCTATAAATTGAATATGCAGAGTGATAGTATCAGATGGTATGACGGAGTTCTAAGGGCTTAATGTCATAAGCGGTACGGCTCTGAATGGAGACAAATTCAATCATTCAACAAACTGAGGTTTGAAATTCATTTTGACGATTAAAAGTCGCTATTTAAGGTGAACATGTGCTTCTGTTAACTGTAACTAATTGTTTGCAGTGGTGTAACTGAGCTATGTTATCAGGAAAGGATCAAATAATTAGCTTATTTTAGCTCATTGATATGCATTTCTGCAGAAAGATCTACCAGTTTGTTATCAGAGTGTTTGGATGGCTACACAAACTGCCCTGGAATGTGTGTTTATATCTACTTCCCAACCTATCATAGAAATATTTACCCTGAAAGCAGTCCGCAACAAACCTATTCTGATAAATAGGGAACTGTAAAATTTGTTTATCTGCTGAAACTTGTCATTGAAATTTGAAGGTTGTTAAGTTATGGGAAGTGACTCATTTCAAATAAATTCTGAAATGGGAAAGGAATGTTTCTTTTTTATACTCTGATAAAGAGATTTTTTATACTCTGATAAAGAGAATTCTTTTCCATGATTATTAAAGATTGTTTTGAATAGTTTTTGTTACTTATCCATTCTAAAAGTACCAGCCACTGTATTTACTATGTGATTAAAATCTCAGTGTTTATTTTCACTTCCTTGTACTGGACACTTCAGAATGATAACTAGACTGTCCTCCACTGTGTACTTACACTAAGTAGATGATCTCACTGTCACAGTAATGGTTCAAACAATACTTTGAATATTAAAGAAAGTAGTACCTACACGTGTCAGGTGCTTTATATCTTATGTATACATGCTAAGTTTTTATATACAAGGATTCAATCCATTTACATTCACTTTTCGTTTAATACCAGGTGGTACTACTCAGACAGTGGTCAGTGCTAAAACGGGTTATTAGTAGGTCACATCAACACCAGTGGACAATTGGTCACTGGTAGTAACTAGGTCACTGGTAGTAACTAGGTCACTGGTAGTAACTAGGTCGCTATAACACAATCAGTACAACTACACATTGAGGCAGACAGTCACTTCTACTTGCTTGGTCACTGTGAAACCAGTGGTTACTAATGATTAACTAGGTCACGGAAAGATCAGAGGTCACAGTGAGACAGTATGTACTACGAACAAGGTCACTATCAGAGCAATGCTCACTACTTTCTAAGGTCACTGTGAGACCAGTGGTCACTAATTACTGAAATCAGAGGTCACAAGGTCACAATGAGACAGTATGTACTACCAACTAGGTCAACATCAGAGCAATGGTCACTACTTTCTAACTTGGTCACAACAGGGTTGATGCTCATTACTGCATAGCTAGGTCACTATGAGACCATTGGTCAGGAGTACTAACTGGGTCACTCTAAGACCATTGGTCAGTAGTACTGGTCACTATATATGAGACCATTGGTCATTTTGAGGTCACAGTTAGCTAGATCAGGAGTTCCCCAGTAATAGCTACTTGTAATATGCTGTGTGACAGGCATTAGCTAACCACAGTTCCTTGCTGACATAGCATCATGTGTTGATTCTATTGATCGAGGGGAAATCCTGCAAGATTGGTGAAAATTGTCAAGTGGAAATGTATGAACTAGCAAGATAAAGACTGGTCTGTGTTGTTATCACTGTGTGTTGTTATCACTGGGTCGTAGTGAGTCACTTGTACTCTACATTCACAAAATCTTTTAATTTTTTATCTGTGATTAAATTTTATCCTTGTTATTTGAGTAACAAAAATAGAGTTAACTTTTTTAACCCAATCCCAGCAGGGGGTAGCGTGGCTGCTGGGAAAACCGAGCTGATCTGGAGACAATACAGCAGTATTAGTTGAGTGGGTATGACCCTCGTATCATGTGTCGCTCAACAGGATGTCACAGAACCATAGCTTTCTTGTTTACGTCTCCACAGGATACCAGACAAATATTACACATAATTTTAATCTTGGGTTCAGTAAATACATATTATTGCTGTGTTTGTAGTGTTTCCGACCTCAGCGTTTCCGACCCCAGTGTCGTGTGGCAGTGCACTGTTAAGGACATAGTAATATAAACAGCTCTTTTTCCTAGTGTCACCAACAAGATGGCAAGGGCAAGAAGTATGCAAGCAATGTCACTCCAAACCTTGTAAATAGATCTGCTCTCAAGAAACTTTAGGGTAGGTGACCTCTTATACTCCTCAGTAATTCAACAATGCCTCTTGTTAAAGTCAACACCATTGTTCCTGTAATCAAAATTATTTCATATTATTTCTCAGCTTCAAATTGTGTAAATAGGTTTCTTTGGAAGTCAAGTGGAAGGGAAATGCACCGAGTTCCGGGGGAGACAGAAATAACTTGTCTGACCCTGTGTGTACCAGGAAACTATGCTGGAGGGTACTTGTAGGGTGATCATGTAACTTACTTCTATCTTTCCAAAAGTGCAAGATATTAAATGATATGAAGCACTTGATGAACAGGTTGATAAAAAGGACTGTTTACATGCATGCTAATGAGCTGCCACTTATTCTCCGACAATATTTTCATGTTTGAAAGATTGTTTTTTAATTTCACTGGAAAGATTGAAGCTCTGATAGCAGCTGATACTGTTGGTATGTATGGTATTTTGGTTGAATGCACATCAGTAGATTGACTATTGTCAGATATGGTGCACATTTCTGTGATAGAAAATAAACAACAGTTTGATTGTTTGGCTAACAGTGACAATAACGTAGATCTTTGATGGAAAATTTCCACAAAGTATCACATATCAGAAGACTTGAAGTAGGTATGTAAGGGAAGGACCAAGGAATGATGTAGATCATTACATTCTCAAATTGAATTGATACTTTATTTTGATGCTGTTACTTTAGAATTTTGCTAAAGCAATAATTCAAACAAACTTTCTCAAAAGAACAAGTTTGTATCACTTTGGTTGTGGTTATTAACCCTTTCACCCCTATGTAACTTTAGTAGACTCTACCATGCATTGATCTGGATGAAAGGGTTAACTAATAATGTATGTAACTTAATTAGTCTGATCTACCTGCACACAAAGTTTAAGAATGTGTTACTATGATGTCATCTTGAAATGAAGATTTGATTGATACAGAACATGATGATAATTTTTGGTATGGTTAACCATTTTTGAACACTTAGTAACAAAAGATTAAATTAATAAACAAAAATGTTGATGAAAACAATTATGTAATGTATTCTACCTAATAGTCCATTAAACGATTTATGATTAAGTTACCTTTTACAGTTTTGAAGCATTAGTTACTATTACTGCTACTGAGGGATAAAGGTATATAACCTACCTGGGCCTATTAAATGCAGGTCCTGCTAAAATCTTATACAGTATAACCCTTCTAAACCGGATGTTACCTGGGCCAAACTATCTGGCCGGTTTACACTGGTGTCAGCATGTTTTTTTTTGAAAATACAAAAATATAGTGTTTTGCATACGATCTGTATTCAAGTGTGTCAATATAAACAACAGAGAAATGAATCAATAACATCGTTTAGTTATTTACAGAATATACGAAGACCGACTCAACATTAAATAGCGCTTTTTTGTTTAGAATGTGTTTGCTTTAAATTGTAGCCGGCCGATAGAAATTTAAGGACCGGAATAAACAGGTAGTTTTTACATGCATCACTATGCCAACTTTTGTGAAACAACGCCGGTTTTCGGAATGGACAGGGTCCGGTTTATACAGGGTTAAACTTCTATGTTTATATAGGGTATATGCCGGGACCACAAATCAAAGCTGGTTTAGACAGGGATCCAGATTTTACAGGGCAACAGGGGCCAGTTTAGACAGGTTATACTGTAATTAGCATTACTTCATAACAGGATTGACATTTTGCATCTTAAATTGTAAACTATGAACACTGTTTAATTAAATAACATAAAAAAACATTTCTCTCCCAGGGGTTCACCTACTGACTTACATAAAGTTTCAAATATCATTTGTCAATCTTTTTATTATTCCTACATGTCTTTCTCCTCATTTTCACTAAATGACTAGTGCCACTTCCGTAGAGGCTGACAACCCAATGGATGTGATTAACATGACGAGCTGATAGTAACACCAATATAACATCACCACAATCACGTTGTTCCTGTAAAAGGTCTACCTGGGCCGCGTTATAACAGCCTTCCAGATACTGGTGTCCTTGTCTCCTCCTTACTATGACTGTCATGCTCCTTGCCTGCATGCCTATTGCCAGGGGCGTATCTGGAATGTGCCGTAAGGGTCGTCTGCAGGGGTCATACTCCAATAACACAACTTGTGGAGGTGTTAATGGTGACCTTTCACCCTGAAAACTTGTTATGCCAGTATCTATGTTAAAATGCTTTATAAGGTTTTCAGGAATCTCCAGTCGTTTCTGTATGATTTTGTGCTATGAAGCGTTTGGAGTGACAGACATTTGTTTGCTTTTGTAAATAAAACTGGCAACAGTAACTGCTACACACATTTTACCTTAACGTGTCTCGCACACGTACACACGTGTTCCTTGGCTACCACGACATGTCATGCATGTGTATGGGTGTAGACTTACACACGTGTAAACTTACACACACATGTAAACTGACACACACATGTAAACTGACACACACACGTGTAAATTGACACAAATGTAAACTGACACACACATGTAAACTTACACACACAAGTAGCTCACACATGTATGTTGATTGACAGATGTGAATTGACACATATGTAGACTCGAACACATGTGTTGACTAACAGGTGTATATATATACTGACACATGTAAACTAACACACATGTGTGGCAGTTGTCTTCCAGGTATAAACTGTGAGGTGTGTAGATGAACACACACCTGTAGAATGAGAACACTTGTACGAGTAAACCACTACAAAAACACCCTTCGATTTAATAGCACATTATACTTGGTGATAAAAAAATTCTATGTGCTGTTTTACATCCTCTGTGGTTGTTAATTTGCTGTATTTTAACATCAGCCGGCGTATAAAAAGTAATAATTAGGTAGATTGTCTACTATTGTGCGGAATATTGATCTGTGTTATATATGCCAGCTTAGGTATATAGGACTCAATCAATGGTGGCCATGTTAAGTTGGCTATTACTCATTTTTATAGCAGGTTTATTCATCAGCTTGTGGAGTGGTAGTAATAGTGGACATAATTTGAAGTGACAATTATGAGGATAGATAAGCTAATAGGATAAGAAACGTATATTTATGTTAGTTTGTTCCCTGTAAAAAGTTCAAGGGAAATTAGCATAAAGTACTACATCAGTTTCTAAATTTAACTTGCCCACATTACATACGCACAGGCCTGGAGTAGATGTTGGTATGTAGATATAGATTGTACATGTGTGAAAACATCAATAGAACTGGTTGATAAGGAGGGAGATGGGGAGGAGGACAGTAAAATATTAATATGTCTGTGACACTGTACTCCAGCTTTACTGTCAGACTGAATTATAAATTAGCACAAGTATAGTTTACAGGCCCAGACTGAAATATTAATTAGCACAGGTATAGTTTACAAGCTGAACCATTCACCTTGTGTAGAGGGGCCGTGGATAAGTAAATATGTGGGTGATTGATAACCCACAGTACCAAGTGACCTTCCCAGGTCGCGGTGGTGGTGGTGGAGCTTAGTCTATGCTTGGCTAGCATTACATTGTGACTGACATGCTTCACCCAATTACCTGCTGTTTAGGTATACCCATATAGATAAAAAGGTGTAGGTCCGGGTCGCTCAAGTATTCAGGGTAGTACACAGAGGATCTAAAACGGGCTGTAGGCCTGCAACAAGGCTTTTACAAACTGGTTTTGACTTATCTTACAAAGTGGGTGCTTGCCTGTGTATAGTACAAATATAACACACAAAGAACCAGCAAGTGACTTCAAAAACATTTTGGGAACTTCACCAAGAAAAACTGGCTTGACATTTTTTCAGGTTAAGCTGGATATATTGTGCTAATCTTGTCCAAACTTTTTACATGATTGGTTTGATCAGCATTGCGGTAGTGGATTTACACTGGACAAATATAGCGTATTTATGCTGACAGTGTTATAATCAGGGTGGTAAGTACATGACTTTGTATCTCTGTTGGAATGTTGGATCACTGTAAGTTTGGGTGTCACCCAGGAGTGTAAGATCAGCATGTGACAGGTTTGCTATTCATCTTCTAGCTGAGGTAAGAGCTTTATATTGGCTAGTGTCAAACAGGCGGAATTGGTTTTGGTATTTGGTCCCATAGCTGAGTGTCAAACATAAGGAATTTATTGAATGGCAAATAGGATTCGGGATATTTTTTTTCAACCCCTGGATGACAAATGTGAGTTGAACATTTTATGTTGAATAAGTTTGGAGTTGAAATGATTACAGTTTTCCGGGGTGACAGACATATAAGATTTAAATTTGGTTTACAGGTCCCCAGGATGACTGGGTTTAAGGTTTAGTTTACGGGTCCCCGGGATGACTGGGTTTAAGGTTTAGTTTATGTGTCCCTGGGATGACCGGGTTTAAGGTTTAGTTTACGGGTCCCCTGGATGACTGGGTTTGCTGCTGGGTTTAAAGGTCCCTAGGGTGACTGCAGGTTTAGGTTTAGATTACAGGTCCCCAGGGTGACTGGGTTTAAGGTTTAGTTTACAGGTCCCCGGGATGACTGGGTTTGCTGCTGGGTTTACAGGTCCCCTGGATATCTGGGTTTAAAGTTTAGTTTACAGGTCCCCAGGATGACTGGGTTTGCTGCGGGGTTTACAGGTCCCCGGATGACTAGGTTTAAAGTTTAGTTTACAGTTCCCCAGGGTGACTGGGTTTAAGGTTTAGTTTACAGGTCCCCAGGGTGACTGGGCTTAGGGTTTAGTTTACAGGTCCCCAGGGTGACTGGGTTTAAGGTTTAGTTTACAGGTCCCCGGGATGACTGGGTTTGCTGCTGGGTTTACAGGTCCCCGGGATATCTGGGTTTAAAGTTTAGTTTACAGGTCCCCAGGATGACTAGGTTTGCTGCTGGGTTTACAGGTCCCCGGATGACTAGGTTTAAAGTTTAGTTTACAGGTCCCCAGGGTGACTGGGTTTAAGGTTTAGTTTACAGGTCCCAAGGGTGACTTGGTTTAAGGTTTAGTTTACAGGTTCCCGGGATGACTGGGTTGAGGTTTAGTTTACAGGTCCCCGGGATGTCTGGATTTAAGGTTTAGTTTACAGGTCCCCAGGGTGACTTGGTTTAGGTTTAGTTTACAGGTCCCCATGGTGACTTGGTTTAGGTTTAGTTTACAGGTCCCCAGGGTGACTTGGTTTAGGTTTAGTTTACAGGTCCCCAGGGTGTCTGGGTTTAAGGTTTAGTTTATAGGTCCCCGGGATGACTGGGTTTAAAGTTAAGTTTACAGGTCCCCGGGATGACTGGGTTTAAAGTTTAGATTACAGGTCCCTGGGATGACCAGGTTTAAGGTTTAGTTTATAGGTCCCCGGGATGACTGGGTTTGCTGCTGGGATTACAGGTCCCCAGGGTGACTGGGTTTAAGGTTTAATTATAGGTCCCTAGGGTGACTGGGTTTAAGGTTTAGTTTATAGGTCCCCGGGATGACTGGGTTTAAGGTTTAGTTTAC